ATATATATATATATTCGTTTCTTTGTTTTTAAAGAACCCTGGTGGTTTAGCTAAGCACTAGGCTACTAAACAAAAAGGCTGTTGGTTCCAACCTATCCAGAGACTCTGTAGCAAGAAGACCTAATGATCTGCTTCCATCAAGATTCAAAACTCACAAGAGTTAGGGGGAAATGGATAGGGGGGAGGGGGTATTACAACCTAGAAAACCATATGGAGCAGCTGGACTCTAATCCATAGAGTAGTTGTGAGCTGAAATCAACCTGACGGCACCTAACAACAATAACAGCAATTTTTATTTTTTCAAAGGTGGACCATAAGCCACCTGTAAACTCCCTTATATGAAAGCTGAGCTCTGGAACCATAAGTCTTGTTTTTATCTGGTTGCTGTGAATACAGTATTTTCCTTTTACAAAATTCCACCATAAACCACTTAAGATATTTCCACAAAGACATCGCAGAGTATGCTGGACCAACTAAACAAAAAACACAGTCTCCTGGATGGCCCTGCAGTTTGACAATAAATAAGAGAAGGATTAGGCTCTAGCTCTTCCCTCTGAGCCATCATCTTTCTGCAGCTCGCTGCATAAATGTGGCCCAGCTGTCTCACTGACCTTCCGGGACACTGGTACTTCCCGCTTCCAAATGCAATGAAGCTTTCCAAGAAAATACGTTTCTCTATGTTTGCCTTTTCCCAACGTTCCTGTGGGAAGAAAACATTTTTTTCCAACTCAGTTTTATATAAATAAACTTAACTTTATTTCTCCAGGCTAAAAATGATCTTGTACAGCTAATCCTTGCATATAAAATTGCAGAGTTTTTGGTAGGTTGGGTGTTTTTTTTTCTTTTCCCCCCCATGACTAGTTATTAATATAAGACAGAACTGTATCTCTCTTTGGAACATGTACATATAAATAAAAAAGGCTTTAAAAGAGTTCTGTTAAGTGGTCAAGGTAGATGATAATGAAAACCAACCACAGAATTGACCTCTGAAGTATAAGGATATTTATAAGAAGGTCTCAGGCTCCATCATAACATTTTCCTCTGTAACTGGTTTAGTAATAAGAGGCTGACAGCCCGGCTTGCTGGAGAAAGCTGAAGATGCAGAGCAAATACATCTGGTTGCCACTTCTGACAAATTTACCTGGAGGCAGAGAACAGCCTGAATGACCTCTTAAGATTCTGTTCAGCCTGTAATTCCACAGTTCTAAGAAACAGAAGAGCATGATTTTAATTTGCTCTATTTTTTTATTCTTTGTACTCCTGGAAACCAGTAATAGAAGCAATTGCCTGAAGAATACGAAATAAGTCTGTCAGAATTAGGCGTCTTATTTTAAGAATGCTTTACTATGTGCAGGTAAAACTCTAATTTAAGGTAGGGAAAACTTATTCCAGAAAGTTTACTATTTAAGTAATCTAATCTGCATTTTGTAACCAAAATGACTCTTACTAACCAGAGAGATACTGTTGCTTAGTGGTACTCATTCATTGCTAGTGAATAGAATGAATAACCTCCAGCAGGTTTGCAGAGTCTGTATGTTGCAGGGAAGCAGGATTGGCATCCACTTTCCTAAACAACTTGCGTCTGGAAACTCTGTAAACTTTGATAAATGTCAATAGTTGTAGAGGGCCTTTAGGCCCTTTGTTCATAGTGTCACTATGAGTCGTGCTCAACTCAAAGGCAATCAACAACAACATGTTGCAGGAAACGAGATGACTTTTTTTTTCTCTTAGAGCAACTGGTGGATTTGAACTGCCTGGTTTTGCTTGGATTGGCAGCACAGTTCCTTACCCATTAGGCTATCAGATCTCCTTCTTAAAGATACCATTCTAGACAATTTACCACTTAATATACCCTGCATAAAAAGACATTAAAAGCAAAGGGCAACTAGTAAAATATATAAGAAGGTCCAAAAGGGTCAAGGGGCTGAGTATGGGCAATGGAGATATCAAGGGGTCATAGAATTTGGTGGGAAGAATGAAGGGTGAAGGAATTGGGAAAAATCCAGTGGGGACCTAAAAAGACAGGGTAATGGTGGGTATGGAACAATGGTGATTAATTCTATAAAATATTGTGTATGGGAAGGATTGTATCAAATACAGTATAAATTAAAGAATGTGTGAAACACAATGTATATGAATTTTGTATGCACACTAATATAAAATATTTTTTTTAAAAAAAGCCAAAGGTAATGAATACCAAAAGAAATAACTTACAGGTTTGAATGATTCAGGGTCAGGAAAATACTTTGGATTTCTATGTAGCCAAAATGGAGACAACATTAGCAGGTCACCGGAAGGAACCGTGTAATTCTAAGAGAGAAAAGAAATCCAAGTAATTTTTATAAATTTAAATTACAGAGAGTTTGTGCCACTGAAAATAATCCCTCTTGTAATGAAGATATATACACAATATATTATTGAGGGTGAGAAAAACCAACTCTCTCTTGGAGAGTCTACACCTTCCACTTTAAGTAGTGACTACTTCCTAATTCTGTTCTTCAGTTACATATGCATCATTAAACCCGTTTTGATTGAGTTGATTCTGATTTATAGTGACCCTGCAAAACAAAGCAAATATGTCTCCATGGTACAGAAGTTTTGAGACAGAAAAACTTTGCTGACATGAAAAAATGTTCAGCAGAGTCATAAAAACCTAAATAACAACCAAAATAACCTCTTCAAAATGTCAGATTAAGCAATGAAGCTTACACTCCTACTTGCTTTATTTAGAACCAAATTTTTTGCTCCAAACTTTGTATATATAGTTGAATAACATGGAGACAAAAGCATCAGGTAGCCAGAGGGAACAGCGTAATTCTAAGAGAGAAAGTGAGTTCTAATGCTATAATCATTCCAGACGCGTAATATCAGCTCTATCTCACATGGAGCAACTAGTGGATTGAAACTTCGACCTTTGAGTTAGTAAACTAGCATTTAACTACTGCACCACCAGGGCTCTTTACATATTTGATTATACAGGAGGAAAACTAAGATAATCCTCCAAATTTTAGCAACATATAGGTGGTGGTGGTGGTGGTTGTTGGGTACCCTCAATTTCATTTTGAAGCCTAGCAACTATTGGATTTTTAAGGCTATATTCTTTATGAGAACACATCACCAAGTCTAACTCCACTGGAGCCATTGAATGGTTTTGAACAACCAACCTTTCAACAAGGAGTTGAGTGCTTAAAAGTTGCACCAACAGGGTCCTTTCAAATCTTGCATAAGCCCGCTGTAGCATAACTTTTCATATGAAATATTGGAGTTGGCAACAACTAGAAATTACAGTGTATTCTAGATTGGGGAATACTTAACATTATAATGCAAAATTTTCTTTCTTTTCATTGCATAATCAATTTTCTCTTCAATCATGGTTGGAAATCATGATCTTTTCAAGTAGATGAAACCATGATTAACTCAATCATTTCCATCTGTTTCCCCTCCATAATAAGCATTGCCATAATGAGCATTTTCTTCCACAAAGTATATTTCATATGCATTTTTATCGTCAATGCTCATAACATAATGCACATATATATTTTTAAAGCTCATGCTATCCAACTGTATTTCCAAATTTGGAATAAGTTTCTAAATACAGCATATAAGAATTTCATTGCTTAATCTGACATTTTAAATAGGTTCTTTTTGGTTATTTAAGTTTTTATGATTTTGCTGAACATTTTTCAACAAACTGTTTCTGCCTATAAACTTGCATGTTATGTTCTGTTCACATTAATGTCACAATAGTGCTTTACTTACCCATCTTGATGACTTCTTAAAATATTAAAATTATTTGCCCATGTGTTTTAACCAAATAGAGTTCTTTCCACTCCATTTTTTGTCTACATTTGATTGATGTTATTTTTTTTCCATTTTAAAAAAGTCTGCAAAAATGTTATTTTGGATTTTATTTCAAATTACATTACACATTTGGATCATTCAGTCTTCTCATTTATTTCTCTAAGTGCCTGATCTTGAGTGAAGTAACCATATGATGTATTTTTGCTTTCATCTTTGCTTTTTATCCTTTTAAAAAATATGTCTCCTTCATCGCAGGCTAATTGTGAAGTAAAAGTAAACTATAGTGAACATAGTGTCACTTGCCACAGTAATATATGAAATTGATCATATGTCTGATGCATTTTTTCCCCAATAGTGAAGGCTTGGAATAGAATTTAGAATTAAATTCAAATGCTGTTCTTATAAAAGGAATTATACTAAATTTTGATGTGATACAGTCCAGTTAATTCATCTTCCTTGTGGGCTAATCTAGACATCTTTTTCTCTCTATAGCAGCCGTTCTCATTATAAAGACTCTTTTAGGGAGCTCTTGTGGCCTATAGGTAAGGTATTGCACTGCTAACCCTAAGGCAGGCAGTTTGAATCCACCAAATACTCCACAGGAGAAAGATGGGCAACCTCCTCCCATGGGATTTACCTCTAAAACCCACTTTAGGGTCAGCTATGAATCAGTTCCAACTTGATGGTACATAAAATGTTTTCCAGAGTCAACAAGATTAAAATAATTCCTGGATAAAAGATCCGTTCAAAGCAGAAGGTGGAACAACAGCTTTTTAAGGAAACTGATTATAAAGTAGTCATTGATGTCATTGGAGATTCTACATGATGACAAGCCTTTGTGAATATACCACTTGTTGCGTTTTAATGTGGTATCAAAGAATAACCACAAATTACTGAAGAGGCTATGAGAACACCCCTCTCTTTTCCCTATTGCAAGTCTATGCCAAATTGGATTTTATTAATATTCTCCAATCAGAACCAAATATCACAAGGAATTGATTCCAAACCTATAGGAGAGAATCAGCTATCTCTTGTGAAAAAAAGGCACTAAATAGATTTCCAAGAGTGTTGATTGTAGAGCCAAGCAAGCTGAAGCTGTCAACAATCTCAATCTCTTCATCATCTATCAAGATGCTGTCAACTGGCCCAGTGGTGAGAATCTTTGTTTTCTTTGTATTGAGCCTCAATCCATATAGGAGGCTGCAGTCCTTGACCTACTGCAGCAAGCACCTCAGGTCCTCCTCAGTTTTAGCAAGCAGGGTTGTGTCATCTGCATAATGCAGATTGTTACTCATCAATCTACTTCCAATCCTGATGCCACATTTCTCCTCATAGAGCCCAGCCTCCTTGATAATCTGTTCTGCAAATAGACTGAAAAGGTATGGAAATAGGACACATCCTTGACACACCCTTCCTAATTTTGAACCATTCAGTGTTTCCTTGTTCTGTCCTGATGACTGCCTCCTGGTCCAAGTATAGGTTTCACAATAAGCACCATCAAGTGTTCTGGGATTCCCAATCTTCTCAGTCAGCCACAGTTTGTTGTGATTCACACAGTCAAATACCTTTGCATAGTCAGTGTAGCACAGGTAGACATTCCTTAGTGTTCTCTGCTTTCAGCAAAGATCCATCTGACATTAGCTATAATATCCCTAGTACCATAACCCCTTCTAAACCCAGCCTGCACTATAGGCAGTTCTCTGCTGATGTGCTGTTCCAGTCGTTTTTGGATAATCTTCAACAGAATCTTGGTTACATGATATCAATGATACTGTTCAATAATTTCCACGCTCTGTTGAGTCACCTTTCTTTGGAATGGGAACAAACATAGATCTCTTCTAGTCAGTTGACCAAGGTGGTTGACCTCCAGATATTTTGGCACAACTTGGTGAGCACATCCAGGGCAGCACCTGTTTGTTGAAATATGTGCATTGGTATGCCATCAATTCCTGGGACTTGTTTTTTTGTCAATTCTTCCAGAGCAGTTTGAACTTCTTCCTTAATCACCATAGTCTCTTGCTCATTCATTGCTTCATGAAATTCTTCTGTGTCCATCAATTCCTGGGACTTGTGTTTTGTCAATTCTTTCAGAGCAGTTTAAACTTCTTCCTTCATCACCACAAGCTCTTGTTCATACATTGCTTCATGAAATTCTTCTGTGCCCACCCATTCCTTTTGGTACAATGACTCTGTATACTCTTTCCATCTTCTTTTAATGCTTCCTGGGTCATTTAATATTCTGCCCAAAGCATCCTTAAATATTGCTCACTCAGCATTTCTTAAGCTGAAGGAACTGAAGAACAAATTCAAACCTTGAGTGGCCTAGATTAGGTACACCTAAGTCTCTAGACTGATATCATTGCTTTTCAGTACCCTGGAAAAGTCCCTGACAGCAGATTTACCCAATGCAACTCATCTTTTGATTTCCTTACTGCGGGTGCCGAGTGTTGATTGTGGACCCAATCAAGTTCTAATTGTTAACCACTTCAATTTCTTTTCCAACTATTCTATTATTAATTCTATTAATATTAAATTCTTATATAGAATATAGTTTGTTCTCTTGATCTAAACATCTGGCCTTATACCACCAGTAGCACACTGTTTGCATTTTTCTTGTTTCAAAATGTTTTCATTCCTAGAGAAGATAGTTAATATTCCTGCATTATTATTATTCTTATAAAAATTTCTTTGTTATTCTTTTCTGGGAATTTTTGCAGGTGAATTTTACATAATGCTTAGTTAGACCACATGAAGGAAGGGCAGTGGAAGAACAATTCTAGTTTTCACTGCAAGAAGCCTTGACCCAATGAGAAATCCAATGGGAGAGTCTCTGTCACCATTTGGTATCTCTTTCAGTCTCTCTCTCTCTCTCATTATAATTAAGTAAGATCCAATTCATAGCTGACCCTCTAGTGAGTGTTCTGAGGCTCTAAATTGTGCGGGAGGAGACTACTCATCTTTCTCCCATAGAACCACTGGTTGATTCAAACTGCCAAAGAAGTGTGCCCTGTAGGTTAACAATGCAACCACACCACCAGAGTTCCTAATATGGTGTATGCAGTCCTATAAAAAACATATTTTTATAATCCAATTTCCTTGGATGATATGTGTAAGTTTTATTTAGTCAAGACATTCTATTATAAATACATATCAAGCTAAACGGACCATGTTTTAGGAATTTATGCAGAAGAAATAATCTTAAATATAAGTAAGAATTTACTTCTAAGGATATATATCTTTGCAAAGTTTATAACAGAAAAAGGTGCAAGCCATGTGCATATTCACAAATAGAGAACTAATTTGAAAAATTATAGTACTCCATATACTGGATTATTATGCTGTATTTTAAAATGGTATAAATATATTTTAGTGACAGAAAACAGATTTATTAACTCATAGCTGAATTTATCAAGGTTGCAAAAACAAAGCCAACACATAAAACTCAATTGTATTTCTAACAACGTATACGAACTTTGTAAGTAAACCAGTATAAAGTGAAAATTTTATTTAAAAAAATTCAATTTATGTAACAAGCAATGTGTCATTGACAAACAAAACTAAGAACTATCATATATGATAATTAAAAAAGAAATGTTTTTGTTTACATTTAGTAAAATGTGTGTAAGATCTGTATTTTAAAACAACCACCAAAATAAACACTAAGAGAGAGAAATAATTAGCCTATAATTCAATCTTTTCCTAATCAGGATATAACTGAAATTTAATAAATTGTTCAATAAGAATTATAGCAATAGTCAGGGTAATAAGTGCATTGCTCTACTTAATTACATGAAATTGTCTGGCATATTTTTCTCAGAGCATATTCTTTTATACTTATGGCTTAAGGTAATTAATTATTTAACTACTTTAAATAAAAACTGACCAAAATAACATTCAAACTAAGTGGTATAATTTATGTAAGGCAAGTTAAACAAACTATGTCCCCTTAGAAATTATCAATTTGCAATTTTGGGAAGCTGATTCTTGCCCTCAACCACAAAATTATGTTAATCATAATATAGAATCTTCTGGCAAAAATGACATTCAGAGGGTTACATTTTATCCAAATACCCACCATCATATTAACAACAACAGTGGGTCTAGTTTTCCCAGAGTGAAATATATGTCATTGAACTCTAAGAGATTCGGTAAGGTTGTAGTGTCGATGGCCATTAATGTCATTCTAAAATATTCAGAGATCAGATTTTTTTTTCAGAAGAGTGATTAATTTAAAACTGAAACTCACCAAAATTTTAATTGGCTTTACCACCTTTCTAGTAATGACACCAGGAGCTTTTAAACGAATAGTTTCCAAAATACACCATTTAATTAGATAAAGTTTGTTCAAGTCCTCCTCTGACACTTTAATCTTATCTTTTCCTGGAAAGAGAATATTAAAAAGAATTAAAATAGAGTAAATCTTACATTAATATTATTATTATTCTTTTAAGACAAATGAAATAATTCATTGTTTCTTTTTCTTTATCATTTTCCCCATGAGAAGATAAACTATCTGGAACCAAAAAACCCTAAAGCAATGTTGATTACTATAACATGGCGGATTGGTGTCCACCTCTGATCTCCAGTCCTTTGACTATTACATGACTAAGCTAGCCCTTATTTGAAAGATTTTCCATTTCCATTAATCTCATCTCTTCATGTTCAAACTCTGCTCTTCCTTTGAAGGTAAAGCAGTAGGAAATTACCAAGAAACACACATAGAATGATGAGGAATCATCTGACTTTATTATTATTATTACTTCTCTACAGGTTCTCTGCTGATTTTTAAAACTTCATTATTGTTTCCTAATTTGCTGAAGGTTAGAGAAAAGAAAACACACAACTATGAAAGAGAATGAGATACAAATGTATCACACGTTGTCCATATGATATGCACATCTTAACTAATATTTACATTGAAGCCACCTGAAAAAGAATCAGCATCAAATAGTCTGCCACCCACAGGAGAGTTAAGGCCTTTCATCCAAATGAAGACTTTCTGAATTCTACTTCAAGCGTTGGTAGTGCATAAGGAGTTGTGTTGCTAACCCAAGGTGGCATCTCTCTGGCAGTTCAAATCCATCAGCTGCTCCATGGGAGAAAGATGGGCAATCTCCTCCCTTGGGATTTACAGCTTCAGAAAACCCACTGAAGCATTTTGAGTTATGAGTTATGGACTATGAGGTAGATTCCAACTGAAGAACAGTGAGTTTTTAATGATATCTCAAGTAAATTGCTTACCTTTTGAAAATCTTTTAAAACAAACATGGTTTTTAGTTTGGTTGTGAAATTACTTATTCAATAAAATTTAAAAACCTGTGGCTCCACAGTCAACACTCTTGGCACCAGCAGCCAGGAAATAAAAAGAACGTATTGTGATGGGAAAGTCTGCCATTAGGGACCTCTCCAGGGTACTGAAGAGCAATGGTGTCACTTTGGAAACTAAGGTGCGTCTGATACAGGCTATGGTCTTTGCAATCATTTGTTATGCATCAGAGAGTTGGACAATGACTAAGGAGGATAGAAGGAGAATTGATGCCTTTGAGCTGTGGTGCTGGAGAAGAGTATTGAATGTAGCCTGGACTGCCAAGAAAACAAACAGATTCATCCTGAAGAGGGTTAAACCAGGCTAAGGATTCTGAGGCTTTGTCTGACATACTTTGGACATGTTGTAAGGAGGGAGACGTCCTTGGAGAGGGACATCATGCTTGGGTGGGTGGAGGGATGGCACAGGAGGGGCTTCATGAGGTGGATTGATTCAGTGACTGGGATAATCGGGATGGGTGTGTCAGAGGCAGTGTGACTGGCACAGGATAGAGCAGGGTTTAGGGCTGTTGTCCATAGGGTTGCTATGAGTTGCAAGCAACTCGACGGCACATAACAACAACAACAACAACAGTCTGCTTCCCTTTGGTACTTGGAATGAGTGGGTGAGGGTAAGGTCTAGGGTTTCCAAATACCTTTCTCTTTTACTCTGAATTAGATTTGTTTGAAAGTAAGCCAGTGGTAAGAAAGATGTGAGTGGGTACTGTCTGAGAAAGCTTGTCTTTCAAAACATGTTGAATTTTTGAGGAGTTGTAAATTAACATCCTTGGTTAGAAGAGTCTGTAAAATAAGGTTGTTTTTTTTAACCTTTATATTCACTCACTGCCATTAAATTGGAACTGACTCATAGCAGACCCTCTAATGTGTTTTCGGAGACTGCAAATTGTTGTTGTTGTTGTTGTTGTGAAGTGCCATCTAGTTGTAGGTGACTCATGGCGACTCTATGAATGAAAGTCCTCAACACTCATGTGCTGTCAGGGACCTCTCCAATGTGCTAAAGAGCAATGATTTCCGTTTAGAGACTAAGATGCACCTGATCCAGGCCATGGTCTTTGAGATTACTTGCTATGCCTCAGAGAGTTGGACAACGACTAAGGATGACAGAATAAGAATTAATTGTGGAGACTGCAAATTACAAAGGAGGAAATTGCCCATCTTTCTCCTGCATAATGGCTGGTGGATTCAAATTGCCACCTTTTGAGTTAGCAGCACAGCTCCCTACAGATTAGGCCACCAGGGCTTCCAGAGCTCCCATGCCATAGCCCATAGTGTGCTGCTCTGCTAAATAAAAGGCTGCAGGTCTCTGGCACTTAGATCACCAGCAGCTCTGCAGGAGAAAGGTGAGGAGCCTCTTCCCTTGAAGAATTACAACCTTCAAAACCTGATGGAAGGAATCAACTCGATAACAATAAGTGAGTGAGTGGTACCTAGACACGCAGCCCAGTCTGGCTCTACCAGATTTACAATTAAGGCACAGCTCCTGCCTACAATGTGTTTGTTTACTCTATTAGGAGGTAATAGACAAACATACAGTTAATTAACATCACAGCAGAGGGGGGAAAAAGAGATCGTATGAGATATAAAAGAAGGTAGCATTCATGTTCCTCTAGGAGATACACAAGAGTGATTTCTTCTCTAGAAATTGCAAGCACAATCTGTTCTTTATGGAGAGTAACCCTATTAAATTGCACATTAATAGGGAGCTCTAGTATCAAAGATTTCATTTTGCTTATCTCCACAGTCAACAACTTTGGTACCATCAGTCAGGAGATCAGGAAATGTATAGTATTAGGAAAGTCTACTGTTAGGAACATCTCCAAAGGCCTGAAGGGCAATGATGTAAGTTTTGAGACTAAAGTGCACTTAATTCAAGCCACACACTGTTTTGCAAGCCACCTGTGGTGCAACTGAGAGCTGGACAGTGAACGAGGGTGACAGGAGAACAATTGATGCATTTGAGTTGTGGTATTGAAGAAGAGTGCTGAATATCCCACAGACTGTCAAAAGAACACATATGTCATAGAGAAAGTGCAACCAGAGTGTTCTTTGGAGGCAAAGATGGTGAAGCTTCATCTCACTTATTTTGGACATGTTTGGAGAGGATATTCCATGGAAAGGGGCATGCTTGGAAAGGTAGAGCATCAGCAAAGGAGAAGACCTTCATGGAGAATGATTGATACTATGTGTGGCAATGGACTCAAATATGTTGAGATGATAAGGATGGTGCAGGATAGGAGAGAGTTCAGATCTGTTTTTCATAGGGTCACTATGAGTCATACTGGACTTGATGGCACTTAACAATGATAACAACAACAACAATAACAATTGGTGGCCTAGTGGTAAGAACTTATGCTGCCAATCCAAAGGCACACAGTTTGAAACCATGAATTTCTCCACAGGAGACATAGGGGCAATCTCCTTCCATGCTATTTACTCCCTCTGAAAATGTGCTGAAGGGTCAGCTATGAGTCACTTTTGACTTGTGGTAAAAACAACAGCAACAATGAATCAATAATTGTCCAGCTGCAACATAGGGAGCTGAACAGATGGATACATTAGACAAAAGACAAAGGAAGAGGCAAAGGGAAATGGAATATCCACAGAACACAGTGGGTCTAGTTTTCCCAGAAGTGAAATACATGTCACTGAAATGTAAGAGATATAGTCAGATTGTACTGTAAGTGGCCCTTAATGCTATCTAGAATATTCAGAGACCAGAGAATTTGAAGACTTCCTGCCTTGGACCATGACAGAATAAAAAATTCAACAATAGACCCTCCGGAGCTGAGTTCTTCCCCCTGTGAAGACTTCAGCAGATGCTCCCAGGGACCTCTGCAAGAGAAAGGCTGATAACCCAATCACAAAACGAGTGAAAGACCTTTCGTAATGGGAGACAATCAGATGGCCAACAGTCAAATGAAGAAATACTCAAAATCATTGGCAATAGGAGACTAGCAAATCAAAACCACAATGGCATACTGTCTTTCCCCCAGTGGCAAAGTTTAACAAGACAGAAAGCAATAAACTTTGAAGAGGATGTGGAGAGATAGGAATTCTCATACACCGCTGTGGGATGGTGAAAGGGTACAATTACTCTGGAAGACAGTTTGGCATTTCCTCAAAAAGCTGAATACGGAAATTCTGCTTCATCCAGCTATTCCACTTCTAGGAATATACTCCAAGGAGTTAGAACTGAGACACAAATGGAGATTTGTACATCTATGTTTATAGCAGCATTATTCACAATTGCAGGAACATGGAAACAGTTCACACATATTCAATCACAATTGAATGGATTGAGAAATTGTGGTTCATTCACATGATGGAATTCTATGCAGCACTCAAGAGCAATGATTTTGAAATTACTATATATCTTGGGTTAGACTGGAGAGCATTATGTTTAGTGAACTATCTCAGTCTCATAAGGATCAAAACTTCATGAGACCATTACTGTAAAAATAGAAGGATAACTAGTAAAAAGAGTAAACAAAACTTTTCTAAAAGTAGTAAAACTAGTAAAAGGATCCTAGGGGAGAAGGGGTGAGGATGGGCAGGGGGAAACAATAGGGTCACACAATTTGATGGGTGGAAGGAGAAGGTAGGTAAAGTGGGAAGAATCCAGCCGGGATCTGGAAGGATGAAGTAGATTGATTTTATAGGAATGGGAATTGTTGTGTGTTAGACAGTATGAATGAAGGATAGTGTGAAACACAATATATATTTTTTTATGCAAACCAATATAAAAGAAAAAATTTTAGAAAAAGAGAAATTCAACAATGGAATGTTATATGGAATAACATTATCTATTAAGTTAGGACTTTTGCTCAGACCTCAATAGTTCAATATTAAAAGGAAACAGTAGTTTTTGTTTCAGCAGATAATGTAAAAAAAAAACCCAACAACAAACCAACCCAAAATAAGTTGTTCTTGAGTACACTTCACTCATGGTAACCTCATTTACATCAAAGTGGAATTGTGTTCTGTAATGTGCTTCATGGCTGGGTTTTTGTTGTTGCTGTTGGTTGTTTATTTTTGGAAGAATATCACCAGGTTTT